AGGGTGTCAGCAGTAGCTCCGGGGTGGTTACCACAATTACTTCTGCTTCCAAATCCCCAGACAACTGATTGGGAGACCTATGCACTATCTCCAACCCTGTGAAAGGGCCAGAAGATGAAAAATAACATGGTGGAATACTTCCGTTTTCCTCAGACAAGACTGTACAGCTTTTCTTTCTAGCCATGCGTATTTGCTTCTAAAGAGAGTTGGGTGAAATTTCTTCAGTGAATTTGCTGAAAAATACTATTTTGTGACAGAACCATTATGAATTAGACTCAAATTTGCTGAATGATTTCAGCTAGGAGAGAGAGAATTTGGAGCTAGCGTCATATAACATTTCAGTATGACTCAAAAGCTCAAGGGTTAGATGATGACCCAGAATGCGGGAGATCCTAGTTTAATTTCTCCTCTGAGCAGATTTGAACCTGCATCTTCCAGGAGAATGCCTTAACACCAAAGCTGGGGTTCCAGTCCCTACTCCACTGAATGTGTATTTAATAAAAGTGGAGCAGTGACAGCCAGCGAGATTGAGAACCCCAACCAGGAATATTGCAGAGCCTAGGGGTTAGGTCAAATTCATGTAAGGCGAGAGATGTGGATCCAAATCCTCCTGACCAGATAAGGAAGCTGAACTGGTATAGCCCACATCCTGTGTATCCTGGATGAAAAGTCTAACTCCTGAGGTATTGGGTAAAAGGCAGACATCACTACCACTTCCTCCTCTGTGAATCTAGCCCTTTCTTTTACTTTTCCTTCTAGTGCCTGGAAACTTTTTTTTTTGGTCAAATGTTGAGATTTGTGTTAATGAAACCAAATTTTTCTTCCTGTCTTTATTTTTACTTTCTTTGGAGCAGCAAGGAAAGAAAGAATTGATTCCATCTGAACCAAAAATACTTTTTTTTTTCCAAAGTTCAGCAGCTGAAATTAAAAATACATTAATGTAGTCCTACTTCTAAAATAACAGAAAAGCTTGTGTGAGTTACTATGTTATTTGAGAAAAAACATGAATTGGTGCAGGAGTGAATTGTAATGTACTTGCAAAAAGGGTCAGTTAAGGTTATTCTGGCAACCTTAATGCTGACATCTGACATACGAGTACCGGTAACATTCTGTTAACATGATTTGGTACAGAATGTAACACGTGATAGAAATCTTCGGGTGTATAGTGTAAAATCCTACTTTATCTACAATAGTCATCGCTGTAATCCCAACTCATCTCTCCCATGTTCCATTTACAGTACTGCTGTGTCATCGGTCTGCAACACAACCAAGGCTATGTCTGCACTGCAGTCAGAGGTATGGTTGCAGCAAGTGTAGATATACTTGAGCTGGCTTTAAGACAAGCTTAGGTACTACTAGCAAGGTGAACAGCTGTGCTGGCTGAACAAGTCTAATCTAGGTGCTAACTTGGGCAGCTAGCCTACACTGATGGTGTGCTGCTACATCTTTAGATGCTACAGTCATCTCACTGGTTGCAGTGTAGACTCCTTAAACAATAGGGTTGGAACTGATTCAGGATGCTTTGGGGAAGTGTTAGCCCTTTTTTAACAAGAGTTGAGTTTAACTGTTATCAGGTGTTGACATGGTTACTGCTGCCACAGTAGATAAGTCTGTATTTGGCATCAGAGGTCTTCATAATGTAATAACTAGTGCAAACAAAAGAATCAATTAGATCGGGGGAAGCCAATCTACTGCACGTGTACCACAAGTAGCATGAGCAGGCTCTGTGTGGCATGCAGCAAACCATGGATGGGACAGGAGCTGTGATAGGGCAGGGAACAGAAAACCAAAGCAGCAGATTGGACAGGGAGCATAATGCAGAGAGGCCGGTTGGGCAGGTAAAGGGGATCAGAGTGGCACTCGGGGTGCATCTACATGAGACTTTTACTGCAGAGTGGACTAATTAGCTCTGCAGTAAACATCTCTGCATCTACATGTGCAGGGCTATTAGGTTGGAGTAAACTAATAACCTCAGCAGGGCAGTACCTGTAAATACAAGTACTACCCTACTGCAAAGTTTTTACTTCACAGCACTGCATGTGTAGACGCTGTCGAGGCTGGCTGGGGCACAAGTGTGCTTCAGTGCGGGCGCTGCCTACCAGCTAGCTTTGCACTGGAGCATCTTTATGCCCAAGCCAGCCCCTTCACAGCACATTGAGCTGGGTCGGAGCAGTTCCCCTTGCTAGCCAGGTCTGCTCCAACCCAACTCAACATGCTGCGGTCCTGGGCACACGTTCAAACAACATACCCAGAGCCATAAACTCTAACGCTATAAGTGCTGGAATTTATTGCTCTGTATTAATTGCACGTGTAGATGTGCCCAGGGAGGCCATGGGATTAAATTGTGCCTTGCCTGCCAAAAAGATTGATCCCCAGCAAATTAAATCGGTCAATGTTTTGAAAACTTAAAAATGTAATGCTATGGTTCTCTCTCTCTTACCCCTTTTGTGACTGCGAGAACAACAACTAGTCCATTTAACGAAGTTTCTTTTTGAGAATATGCTTATATGATAACTACTAAACATTAACTTAAAACAGAACGATACTACAGTGGGAAGAGTTATCCATGGTCTTCTACGCCCCACAAACCACGTTTGCTCACTACACAGAATCAAAACAAAGCAGTCCCTCAAAGCAAGTACAAATGGACTCTCTATACTGGCCATACACCACAACTCCCTGTGTTTGACCAGCTTTTCTTCCCCAGCGTGGGGGCAGTGGACAAAGCGAAGAGGTTCCTGGATAACCTACAAATCGTATGTCAAAAATGCATGTTATATGTGAATGGAATCCACCTTACTTCAAGAAAGGACTTTGTGAGGAACCTACCCCAATGACTATGGTAGGGTCACCTTTTTCCCACGTGTGTAGCAGAGGTCTTTCTCAATCCGTGATCTCTATTTGGTTTCTAGTAGTGGTCTGAAGAGGGGAGTTCTAGACTCAGTAGTCTTTCCCTTCTTCCTGACTTTTAGCACGTGTCCATTTAGAATTTGTCCTTGGCTGGCTGGATCTCCAAACTTTTGAGGAATGAGCTCTAAGTACTTTTATTATTTGTACATATTTGTATAGGCCAAGTTTTGCCATTGACCAAAATAACATGCAAAAACAGTAAGGGGGGGTGTTAATGATGCAGAATATGGAATAGAACCAACTCAAGAGGGCAACCTTGTGTCTCCAGACCCTCCTTTTGCTTTCAAGCAAAACAAAACAGATCACAAATTTGGCCTTGTTTTTATGCAGTTACAGAAGGCTATAACCACTTATGTAGCCTATGACAGAAGGTAGTATTATGAGTTTATATGAGCTCCATCTGGTGGTTAGTTTAAAGCATGCACACTTTGATTTAAATAGATTTTAAAAGATTAAAT